TGTAAATCCAACCGTTAGATTGAAAGTTCATATTACTTTATATGTTTATATCAAATTTTGTTAAAATTAAACAACTTGAAGGTAATCAAAGTGTTCATATTTTAGTATATTTTGAAATGTATATATTATGTTAATTTTATTTTATAAGAATGAAGTATCAAATTATCTTGGATTAACATAAAATTTTGTATATATGATATAAGAGTAAAGAATTTTCAATCTAACGGTTGAATTTACAAAATTCACATTTAATATAAAGTTATTGAGTAGTATAATACTTAGTAAAAGTTATATATATATATATATAGTTAATCACCTATACACTGCTAGTATAAAGTTTTTTTACACTGGCAACCAATTATATCTTTTAATTATGCCATGTCACCGTTAAAAGTAAATGTGTTAATGGTGACATGGCATAATTAAAAGATATAATTAGTTGTCAGTGTAAATTTTTTTTACATTGGCAGTGTATATATAGGTGATTAACTCATATGTATATATATATATATAAATTATTCGTACTATCACCGTTGTTATTGGTTAGGTCAGGTAAGCGACAAGCGGTTGTTTCCCGAGTTCTTTCTAATCTTTCATCCTTTCTTGTTAGGCCTCTATCTTCAAAAGGGAGATATACACTAGTAGAATTTCTCTTATTACATGCGACTTTTCCTGCGAATTTTTCATAAAAATTCGCAGGAAATGTTGTTCCTGCAAATTTTCCTGCGAAATTTTATCTGCAGGTAATACCTTCGTGGATAATATTTTTTTGCGAATTTAAAATTCGCAAGAAAGTTTCCTGCGAATTTTTTCGCAAGAAATTTTGCAGGAATATTTTTTACGAAAAAAATTAAAGAAATTACTATAAATTCTATCAATAATTTTTCAACTTAATTTCAAATGCTCACAATGAATTCATCCGAAACATTTGTTTCCATGCCTCCAACATGTGATACATAATCTTTTAAATTCTAAGATTGTAGATTATAAGCCTAACACTCAACCATATAAATCAACTTGTAAGGTAAGTGTTGCCCCAACTTATATACTCTTTAATTGTTTTATTTTCAATCGATGTGGGACTTGAAGTTTTTTTAAAATATTAAACTTATAAATTTAAATATATATATTTTTATTTTTCCTGCAGATTAAAATTTGCAAGAAAATCCGCAGGAAAAGTTACCTGCAAATTTTTTCTACCATTTAGTAAACATTACTTGCGAATTTATTTTTGCAAGAAAATCTGCAAGAAACAAAATAAAATCTTATAATATTTTCTGCAAATTTTTACAATGGAAAAAAAATTCTATAATTATTAAAATTGTAGCAAAATTTGTACGAAATATCTGTAAATTATTTTTCACAAATAAATTCGCAAAAAATTTCTGCGAATATTTTTTTGCAGGAAAATTCGCAAAAAAATTCTGCGAATATTGCAAGAAAATTCGTAAAAAAATTTCTGCGAATATTTTTTTGCAGGAAAATTTGTAAGAAAATGATACTTTTCTAGTAGTGATGAATGATTGAACAAATTTGGCTCGAAATAGTCCAAAGACAAGAGTTACTTCAGCGTAGGCCCTATTAGATATGATTAATATAATTTATACACATTTTTTTTAATAATTTATATGTAAATACTAGGGGTGGGTATATGGACTTGAGTTCGCGGACCGATCCGTAAGTCCGCGGACTTCACGGATAACGGGCCCATTTTTTTTAATCCGTATAATCATACGGACTTTTTAGGTCCGGTCCGTTTAGTCCGCGGATTTAATCCGATAGCCCGCGGATTACTCGTTTAAATGTGGACTCAAATTTTATTATTGAAGATGCTTGATTATATTTGATAGATGTAATTGGACTTACAAATATTTTATGTTTGTTTTTAAGATATTAATTAAGACTTTGATGTTTTAAGGTATTTAGACTTTGATGTACTTGGACTTAGAAATGTTTTATATTTGTTTGGTTGTGTATTAAGACTTTTAAAGTTTTAAGGTAGTAAGGCTTTAATATTTGGTTAATAGTTGGTATGCTTGGACTTTAAATTTTAAAGGCATTGAGACTTAAATATTTCTATTAGAAATTTAGAATGTGTAAACTTTGTTATTTAAGACTTTGATTTATTATTTACAATGTTTGATGTTATTATTAGAAGTATATTTATATCATTTTATATGTTTTTTTTCCCTCATGTTTTCATAGGTTAAATAAAGGAAAAGAAATTTAGTCCGCGGGCTTCACAAGCCGAATACAAACTTGAAGATTTAAGTCCATTTATTTTGCGGACCGGATTTATCTGGCCCGTTAAAAATGCGGACTTCGCGGACCGGGCCTTAAACGGGCCGGACCGGTCCTTAAACTGGCCGGACCGGTCCGCATACCCACCCCTAGTAAATACACACTTATTTTATCATACATTTCTTTCCTTATCTTACTATATATCAGTGTGTAAAAATATTATTGTATAAAAGTTAAGCACAAGTACAATTACTCGTAAGATATCATATACATGCTGAACATTAAAAAGAAGGCACTTATATAAGACGCGTTTCCTCCTTCAAAACATACATGTACGTACACATTGAGCAAGTTTCCTTTTATATATCGAGGTTGTTTTACATGGTATAACAACATAAAAGGAACGCAAACCATCATTATTTTGCATGAGATTGTTAGTGGTAATAAACTAATAATAGAAGTTATTTCTGAAAGCTAAATTAATGGCCAATTTTACAACGAACCGGTTAAATCCATTTTCAGTTTTTGTTACCATATTATGTCATTAAGTTAATTTGTTATATTGAAGGATTGCTTTGAAGACAATATTGAATCTAAATATCACTCACGTTGAAGAGTCCAGTAGCTTATAATCAAAATGTTCAGGTCTCACATTAATTTTCTAAAGTAGCAAGATAATGCCAATGAGTAGGCAAGTGAATAAAAGAAAATAAAAATAAAAATAGAGAAGCCACGAGTCACGATTGGACTTAATCACTTTTGGTTAGCATTATTTCATCCCTCATGACATTATAGAAATAGTCGAGGTGATAGAGCTTTACTGAAAGGAATTTTTATGCTTTTCATGAGCTTGCATTGTACAATATTAGCCAAACTATAACAACAAAGTGAGAATGAGCAAGACAATGAAGGACATGCACTCTTATCTATCCCCGACAAAGCATAGACACATTTTAAGTCCAACCATCTATCTATACCTAATTAGGGGGCTCACATGCATGATTAAACCTTATTCTTTTGCACACTTGACGATCCCCTATAATACCTTTAGTTGTTTTTCACCTTACGATATGGTTGTATGACTAACTTAGTGATTGGTTGTGTCTGCCATATTTAATTGGCTATTCCAAATTAGGTATTTTTTTATATATCAAAACATTGATGGCCCTCTACAAGTATTCTCCATTGATCCCTAGCTGAAAAAGAAACAATAGTAGGCACCACATATTGGCCTTTTATCAATTTTTTCTATTCAGGCGATTTGCCATTAGGTATTTGATCCAACTATATATAATAATAGCACACACCTGGAAAACTTGACGCAACAAATCAATGACTTTGGCCTTTTGAGATACATCCCAAGCCTGATATTATAAATAATTTCAAATTATCCAACACTATTAATATTTAAATAGGGTCCAGATAATTCTATAAATAAGTCCAAAAGAAAAAACGTTATTAAGAATGTTTTCATTCTGACAAGACACTCTAGATTCTCATAAATTACATTTTTTGATTACTAGTTATATATAGCTAGCATAGAACAATAAAATAAACATTTCAGAACTTAAAGGAATAAGTAGATTGCTAATTTGCACTCATATCAAGGTAATAATTAAGTTTGTTCAAGACAAGATGCGTATACACATTCTTGGTTCATTACAAACAATAATAAACAACAGAAGAGCCCATACATCACAAGGCAAAAGACAGGAAGTGCAGTTGCAACTTCCAACTTATTAAAGCTACTTGGATTTTGTTGTATTTTTGCACCTTTATTGAAACCATTTCCTTGTGGTGTGTGAGAAATTCCACTGACTACCAAAAAGAGAGGTGGTCATCACCTCCACAACGATTATACTAATTACCTTTAGTCAACTTTAATTAATTCTATATCAAATGAATATTTTTAAGGCATATCCTTGACATGATTGAATACAAGTGGGCCTTGAGGAATTATATAATATTTCAAACGCTAAATGATTGGGACAAAGATAATTTATTTTCATCACGTAAACACTAACCTGTTTTCTTGCCTTGAAGGCATGACATGGAGGAATTAATACAAACCTCTTGCCTTTCACAACATAATCCATAATTTTACTCATACTATAAGCCTATTATACACTGTTATTGATGGTGTAGAAACAGGGGGTGCGTTGAGTGCCTCTAAGTGCTAAATAAACTTTTAGTTGTCTCACTCGAGAATGGGAAAGGAAGCATGGAAAGAATATCGAAAATTCAAGATTAATATAATATGTTTGAAGTGGTCAAGCACTAGCTATATAATTGTACAACTGAACAAGTACTTCAATCACTTGATAAAATTAACATATGCTTCTTTCATCGCGCGCACACATCATAAACGAGGTAAACCAGTAAACCGTGTTTATACTATTTAAATTTTAAACTAACAGAAACAGTTTATTTCAGTGAAAGTTATGTACTTCTGTCAATCTATGTATGCAAAGACTGACTCTATACAATACAATTACAATAGTGGAAGGCTTTAATTCCCAAATCAAGACATATAATTATTATATAAAGATCCATATTGTAAATTTAAGAAATCATATGGTTATAGGTTAAGTTTATATATAGTAATAACGAATAATATATCAGTGGAAAACAATATAAGTTTTCCAATTCTCAGTTCCTCAACAGATTATTCGATTACTCTCTCATCATTTCACCTTAATTGTCTGAGATTCATAACCGAACCAATCATACGGCAAAGAATGTTACCAGACTACAGAGAATGAGAAAAAGAGGAAGAATATATAGAAAGGCTGGATATATAACATTCCAAAACACAAACCCTGAAGCTTTAGATTTTCTTTTACAAGAATAATTCTCTGTTGGTAATCAATCAATCATCCACGCTTACAAGAACACAAATGAAAGAAATATGGAAAGAAAGAAAGAAAGATTCAATCAGTTAATACAAACTCTGCACTCTATTTTCTTCCCTTTCTTTAGCGAGAAGAATTAGGAGGAGAGTACTCACAAACTACCTCAGTTTGCACTTCCCTTCTGTGGAAGTTCCTGTGGCAGCCACAAGCTGCACATGTAAGAGCCCCACCAGCTCCTTCCCCTGTGCTAGCCATGAATTCTCTGCAGCCATCCACAGCATAGCCTCCAATGTTCGCTGCATGATTCTTCTGGCACTCTCCATATCTTATGTTTCTCATCACTGAAGATGAAGTGTTTGCCACATCTCTTTTCACCACCACTTGTCTCTTCTTCATGCTTGCTCAGAAACCCTAATCAACTTGATCTCTATGTTTCACTTACTGTGTATATTTTGGGCTCCAATCAGTTTAATAATTGTTTCGCCCAAAATATATGTAACCCCAGCAAATCTGGTTGCTGGATGATGATTCCGCTAGAGATATAAAGCTCTATTTATATACATATATGTATATATATGTATACACGAGTCAGTGCTTGGTGGTGGTGACTAACCCTAACCCTAGTGTGTAAATTTCTGAGTGGCTTAGTTTGGGTAAAGCACTAGGAACAAAAGATGGAAATAAAGGTCATGATTGATTCTTGAGGAATTGAGCAGCCTTATTTTACCAACTTTTCAATTTGGTGCTTGTATTTCAACTGAGGATTATAATAAGGACACGCACATGGGAACACTTGGTCCCTAGTATTAAGAAAGGGACTTAGATAACTTAATTTTAAAATTACACATGGATTATATTTTTACCTCTCACAACTATGAAAAACATTAGAAAGGAAAATGGGATGACGAAAGAATAAATAATTAATTAATAGACATGTTATATTTTTATTCGAGAACAACATCACTAGCATGTAAACAACTTATCCAAGTTTTGTCGAAAGTATTATTGTTGTCTTGGCCAATGAAGGACCAACACGTCACCCAAGAGGAAATGGTGGGGTACTTGGTTGGTTATGATGGTAGAGAAAGGTGGAAGTATGTTTACACAATGATCATCCGTTTCTTTTAGAAGTATAAGTGAAGAAAAGTCTCCATACCGCATTGTGGTGCCCTCTGATTGAGAACCGGACAAAACTTAATATGGGTAGTAAAGGAGGGAATACTTGTCCTTACATTAACCATACAACCCTAGAATTGTCTTCTAGAATTGATAGCTCACCTATACCAAAAGGACGAGTAATTCATAAAAGAAAAACCATGGCAATTGGATTTTAATTTTAAGAAAACTTTAAAATATACTTTTGGTCCTATAATATTTTTTTATTCTTATAAAAAAAATTAAATGGTCTTTTGTAATTTTTTTCTTTTTATTTTGATATTTTATTTTATTTTATCCTTTTAATATTCCATTTTTCTTTTTTTGGCTTTATAATTTTGTAGAATAAACTACTTTTAGACGCTACCATTTTTTTTCTTTCTAAAGGGACTAAAATAAATACAAAAAGTAAATTTTACAGGAACTATTTTAAAAAATGATTTAATAAAATCTAAGGGGGGTGTATTGGATTAGGATTTTAAAGGACTTTTTTAGTTAAAAAAAATCCTGCGAATTTTAAAAGACTTTGCAGGATTTTCATGACTTTTAAGATTTTGCAGGATTCTACAAGACTTAAAATCAGGATTTTAATAGATTATACGAGACTTTTAAATCAGGATTTAAATGGATTTTGTGGAGTTTTGACATTTGATAAGATTTTAAAAAAATTTCATATATTCAAATTTAAAAAGAGTCAAAGACAAAAATAATTAAAAAAACAATAATGTCTAGATAAATAATAATAATAATTCTTCATAATATCCGATCCTCTTTTTATAGCATCCACTATCAATTGTAACAATTCATCGGAATCCTCCTTGGTCCAAGTTTCATAGTTTTCTTTCTCTTTTCCTTTTTCTTTATTATTTCCTTGTGAATCTCCCATTTGAATTACTAAAACAGTATATGTTGAAAACTAGTTATATAAATAATTACGGATAAGAGACAAAATCAATAAAATTATATTATTATTTTTAGAAGCACATCAATCATATAAGATCGAATATATCTCGACTATCCAAATGGATCAAATACCTCAGTTATTATAAAAAAAAACATGTAAAAACAGAAATATAGAAATATAAGATAATTTTTTATATAAAAAAAATCAGTATATTCAATACTGAGAAAATATTAAGATATATAATTTTTTTATATAAACAGATTTATAAATGTAAATTATTCTAACAAATATTTTAACAATATTTTCTTTTTTAAAAATAAGCTAATGAAGGCATAAGTCCTAAATCCAAAAAAATTAGATACTGCAATGTCTTATGTTAATTTTCTTTTTTTAAAATATAAAAAAATCTTAATTTCACAATATAAAAATAAAAAGAAAAATTTATAGTAAAAAAAATAAAATAATTGTTGAGTCATAAAAGAAGGAGGGATAAGAGTAACAAATAAGATCCATTTTCATCTCATTCTACTCACAGAAACCCTAACAATATTATATATGAGCAATAGTGTAGTATTATTAGTAGAGAAAAAATGGAGAAGACAGGAGCATAGAAAAAAAAATGAAAAACTCACTTGAAAATTCTTGAAACACTTGAAAAATCACTTCAAACAATCCTTTAAAATCCTATGGGCCGGTTTGGATGGGATTGTTTTATGAATCTGGTATTTATAGATAACACTAGAAAGTCCTTCAAAATCCCTCTCACACAACAATCCTTTAAAATCCTTATATTTTTGAATACCAATGAATTATTTTTAAGTTGTAAAAAATCTCAAATGAATACCAGTGGATTTTAATGGACTCCTTAAAAAAATCTTGAAAATCCAGATTGAATACCACTGGATTGTTTTTAAGTGACATAAAATCCTGATTAAATACCAATGGACTTTTTTACTCAAAAAAAGTCTTTTAAAATCTTACGAAATCCTAAACCAATATAAAGACCAAATTGAATCATATTTGAACACAGACAAGCCTGGCTATATTTATATATTTACAAGGGCAGTTAATAAAAATGATTTAAATGTACACGGTGATCGACAGTGCAGTGAACTGCTTTTTGGTCAAACTCATTGATTAAGCTGTTTAAGCAGAGTTACCAACCAAAGGGTAGATGCTAATTTGATATCTGCAGTGGGTCCGATTTGATACTTAAAAGGAAGGTTGCAGTGGCGCCCCTTGCAACTGTGACAACAACTCTTGTCTAATTACCTAAGATTCTAATAGGTAGAAGACCATTCCCCACATTCATACATGAATGACCATCCTTTTCTTCTTTCCTTTGGATCAAATCAAGGACAATGATAACTTTTCGAAATTTCAACATCATTGATATGCTCTTGAACTATCTGGCCATCATCAAAGCTAGCCAAAACAAAAGTGCACTATGTATGTCTACACACACCAGATTCCTTTAATTTTTCTTGTTTCAAGTCATTGCGAGTAAAAGCGGGGTGGATGGTACATAAAACTTGCGATTTCCCCTAACGAAAGAAGTTGAAAAGTACGTGTCGTTCTCTGCATAGAACCTGATACGTGTAGTTCACAACATGCTTTTGCAAACATAGAGCATAGAGGAAGTGAAGAACAAGAACAAAATAGAGAGACAAAGAGTGTGTTGAAGTGAAAAAGCGGCTGATTTACACAAGATATATGCATTATTTTGAAAATTTAGTATTATTGGATGGGGCAATATTGGTGGGGGAGGAAGAATGGAAATTCCATAGACAAATTTGATGTTGAAAGGTCTGGATTGTTCACTTAGGCCATGAGTAATACATACACAAGAAGGCATGAGGAGCCTCCACCAACGCCATATCAAAGAGAAGAACTAGAAAGGGACAAGCACACATTGGGGCAATAACATGTGCACATTAGAGAAAGTGACAAGGGACAAGGACACATGTGCTTGTCAATCAGAAGCGTGCTCGTAGTTTACGTTATAGGAATGAATTAAATATTCGTATTTTGCTAATCTCCATTTGGAAAAGCAATATCCTCATGAATCTCTACGCACTATGGGAATTTGGTTTTTCTTTCCGTAGAGTTATGCCATGTGATATTAAGATTTCCTCATAGATACTTTCTCCTAATTTAAATATAAGTAAAACAAATTATATGTATGCTAATTAATCTCAAATGAGACTGTGTATCTTAAACAAAAATAGAGTTAAACAATTATTTCCTAAATAATTAAGTGCAATTCTATATAGACCTTTCTCTTGCTTACCTTACTATACCACAATTGATTATAAGTGATTAAACTATCTTCCGTTGTCGAAGGAGTTCCTTATTTTGTTCTCCTCTTGCCGAAGAACCTATATTCTAATGAGGAATGATGTTTTCTCCTTGATCGTGAGGTGACTGTTCATCTCCATATTTGGCAAAGGAGGCCTCTTAGCCCTTTTCTTAGGACACATTTAGTGTTGTATAAAAACTTTATCTCTCTTGAGTAATTTCAGAATCCTCTGAGTTGTACAATTGTTGTAAGTGAAAGTGTATATCGTGGATAAATTTTATCTCTCTTGAGTAAATTTTTTCTCCTAATTATTGTTTTGTTACATTGACATATTTCTTAGATATTTGTTTACTTAATTCTTATTATGAAAAGAAAGGTAATTTTTTGTATTTGTTAGAAATATTATTATCATAACATGAGAAAATGTTGTAAATGCATATAAAGATATGATCTTCTTAAATACAAATATATGTTCTTATTATAAAGTAAATACAATGTGATAATTATCTCAACTCATAAACATAATAAGAGCGATATATAAATTCTACCTTATCCTAACACAAATATAAATAAAATACGTCTTTGAATTTCACATCTCTCATTCAATCTTTACTATCTTCAAGTTATTCACACTACAAGAATGTTTTGATTTAGAATCGGCCAAAAGCAGACTCTAAATCATAAAAATCGACGTAATATTGTCAGTTATTCGTTGGTTTTTGGCTGACGCTAAATAAGTCGACACAATTTTTTTTGTGTTGGCTAAGCCGCCACTAACAAATTTATTTATTTTAATTTTTTATTGTCGGTTAAGCCGACACTATGTTAACACAAATTTATTTTATTTTTTTCTTTATCTTCTTTTTCCAGCTTATCATTTATGCATTCGTATTTTTAACATTCCTGATACTCGATCTGTGAACCTTGAGGTCTTAAGTGAACTTGATACCAAGTGTACTAGAACACATTATGCGTATATAACATTGAAAAAATTATCTTTATCTCTCTTAAAGCACGTATACTGTCAAAAAAGCTGACACTATTTTAAGATGTAGCGTCGGCTTTTTCGAAACTAAATTTAAATTAAGTTTAGTGTCGGAAAAGCTGACGCTATTCTTTAAATATAGCGTCGGCTTTTTCGACATTAATTTAATTTCAGAAAAGTCGACGCTATATTTAAAGAATAGCGTCGGCTTTTCCGACGCTAAATTTAAATTAAATTTATTTTAAGTTTAGTGTCGGAAAAGTCGACACTACATCTTAAAATAGCGTCGGCTTTTCTGACACTATTTACGTCGGCTATTAACCGATGCTTATTTTTCGTCACTTATTCACTGTTTTCTTGTAATGTCATCGTAGCATG